AAAACGTTTGACATAGTGTGTCTCTTCAAGACACTCATTATGTTTATTTAAATCATTCAAAAGATAAATATGATAATAACTTCTATCACGACGTAATATTCTGTTTTTAATACAGAACTGTCAACAGTTAACGTGTGACAAGACAAAAGTTGACAGATCTAATAAATGTCTGTTGCTGTTCATTAGACATAATTGATGGTCGAAAGTGTAATGGAGTCTGCGTAATAACGAATGTTGATCTTAGTCACAACACTATTCCACACGGTAGAACACAAATTAATATTATGCTGTTTGGGTGATTTAAATGGAGGTTAAACCTAATCATCTTATTTATTCATTTAAGTACATAAGGATCATCTAGGACAGGGATCTGGGATACCATAACTGTTTAAGTATTTTTTATTATGGTTCTCGCTAGCTACTTACAATTAGTCAAAAAGCTCAGTTTTTGATACCTATAGCTTTTCACTTGGACATATTGAGTACCTATTGTACAGGCTGCAGCATGTGACGTAGCAGTCAATAGCTCAATCACTGCGCTCGCGCCGACGACAATGCTGTTTTTCTTAAGTTGTTTTAAACAAGATTATTGCATTGTCAGTATCATAATAGATGAATATTGTATGGACACTATAAACAGCCAACAGGTATTCTACGTATCTGTTAAATAACAATAAGACAATGCCTAACTTTGAGGCCTAAACAGATTGTTCTTATAATAAAATCAAGAATGACAATCAGAAATTAACAATGGGTTTTTAAACGACTTCGAAAAAGTAGAAGGTTAGTAATTATCTCTCTTGCATATATTAACAACTAGCTACTTCCGCGCGGTTTCACACGCTCGGCTCAACTCCTATTGGTCGTAGCGTGATCTTTTATAGCCTATAGCCATCCTCGATAAATGCGCTATCCAACACAAAAATAATTATACAAATCAGACTTGTAGTTACGGAGATTAGCGCGTTCAAACAAACAAACAAAAAAACAACTTCCGCTTTATATAGTACAGTGAAACTTGGTTAAGTGGGACCTGGATAAGTGAGAAACCTCCATAACTGGAACTCATGCTGAGGTCCCAACACTTTGGCACTGAATTACCTCTGTTAGTGGGACGAGGTAAACCTCTATATCCGGGATTTGTTCTTTCGATTTATCATCATAGTTACCTCTATAACTGAGACAGCGAGTAAAATAAACATAAACCTCTGTAACTGAGATAACATTGTTTGTTTACTCATTCTTATTCTACCCACAAATTCTACACATAATTCCAAGTCCACCTCTATTAATGGAACCCTCTGTAAATGAGACAGATATTTATTTATACCTGTATATCTGAGACACTGGGTAAGTGGAATACCTTTATAAGTGAAACGACATTGCAGGTCCCTTGATGTCTCACTTAACCAGGTTTCACTGTACTAGCTTTTTTTTACCCGCGGCTTTGCTCGCGTCACAAAAGAATAAAAAGTAGCCTTTGTGACATATACCAATACACACAGCGCCATCTATACCAATACTTTTGTTTTTCCTGGGAAATATCAATTTTTTCCGGGTTAAAAAGTACCCTATTATTTAATCCGGACTTCTAACTTTACGTCTGCAAAAATTCAAAGCAATCGGTTGAGTAGTTACGGCGTGAAGGTGGAACAAACAAACAAACAAACTCACTTTCACATTTATAATATTAGTAAGGATAACATATAAGATAATTGATTTTAAAAAATAGTCGAAAATATTCTTTTTGTTATACCACGATAGTGGCAGGCTGACACACGGCCCATCTGATGGTAAGCGGTTACCGTGGTCTACTAACGCTTGCAACACTTAGGGCAATACATGCGCTTTGCCGACCCTTAAAAATCCTATTTAGTCCCTTCTTGAAGAACCCCATATTGTAGCCTTCTGGAAAAACCTCGGCAGGGGAGTTCATCCGACAATCGAATAGCTGTATTTGTTTTAAGTTTAAAAAGAAATGATAGGGCTAGCATCAGCATCTCTAATAAAACAATTGACCCCAATACCATTAATTGCAATGACTTACTTAATACAAAAATAAATAATTACAACATTACGTATGCAATCTACATAGGAACAGTCGCGTCTGTAATTTCACCGGGGCGTGACGTCATAGCATCTCGTTCACACCTGCATGCGTCTGCGCAGGTGAACGATCTGTCGCTGAGATTTATAGACTAGACTAGAACGATCTAGTTTATTACGTACTCATTATTTTTGATATTAATAAATTAAGAAGTTGGTTTTATTTATAACAAGTCGTGTCGTGTTATGTAACTAATCGTTGTGTGTGAGTGTGTACGTAAGGCAATGATAGTTTTTCAGTTATAATTTAAAAGTTACTTTTTTTAGACTGTTTCATACATGTTCCACACTACAAATTTTCTCTTATTTTTTTTTAAAAAAAAAACGTTGCCCCACACTAGGATTTTCTCCTGTGTAGTGGGTGCGTTTACAAACATACAAGTTCACATACACATGACACTTGTTTCACTTGTGGATCACACAAAGTGTTGTTCCGTGCGGGAATCGAACCCGTTGCACGGCAGCCGGTTGCCCAGCCACCGCACCAACCGTGCAGTCTAATAAGCAGAATAATGGGACCTACCGTATTTTTGCTCACCACAAAGAGCCGACCTACGACAAAGCTCGATCTTCATAGAGCCATATTTTGACGCAAAGTTTGTTGACACTCGAGTTAGATCATTAGCATGCATTATTCAACTATTGTATAATCATTTTCTCCGCTTCGTTACCATCAGATTGTTTACTGAACAGACAAGAGACGCTACTTTCCTTAAACGCTTTTTAATATTCATATTAATGGCGTTTTTTACATATTAAGTGTGGCATTTTGATTATTATGGAAACTTTAGCTGTAAGCAGGAGATTATGTAAATGCATTGTATGGGATTATTTTAGGTTTATCTGTTAAAGTCGTGAGTTGATTTTTTAATTTTAATGAAATCGGGATAATTGTGATATGCGCTGTAGCTACCAGGCTACCAAGTCATAACGTCAGCGGTCACAATGCATTCAATGCCCCTTAAAAGAAAAATGTCCTAATTGTGTAGAACAGGTAATTGATAGGTTTCCCATAACGCAACATGTTTATGTATTTACAAAAACTGTAATGCAGTCTGTGGTTAACTGAATGAACATGATTCTTATGTCTTTTACCGCCAAAAATGACAGGTAACGTCAAATTTCCCGCTCAAAAAATTTCTTTTATTTCAAATGTAATAGACAACAGATATCACAGACTGCGTCGCATCTTACACTAGATGCGCCTATCCGTGACGCATCAGCCACATGAAAGTGCATTCTTGCGCACTCTCTGTATTTGCGAGGTAACGCGTCATTTAGCCATCTTCTAGATACTAAATATTAGTTTAAACACAGTGTTGTATGAAAGTATTTAGGTACGTGTACCTAGTTTAACGACGCTATTGTTTGGAAGCACACCGAAATTAATTGGGCATGAATGGCACGCTTCGCTTTATAATTTATTATTATTTGACTGTAATGTTGCACGTTTATTTAATTAAACATTTGTTTCAATCAGTAACTCGTTAACCGTTTATTGTTTGTTTAAAAATCTTAAATCTAAAATTCTTTACAAACGACAACGCTGACACAAATAAGTACATTATTTTTAATTTAAATTGAAACACAACATCTTGTGGTAGAATCTGTTTGGATAACACAAATAATAAAATTAATGTTGATGTAGTCGAAACTAGGTTTCGACATGAACACGGAAAATCTATCCAGATACTAGGTATATATGATATTACAATTCAAATAATATCGAAACCGAATCTAGAATATCTGCTATTCTGCTTCAAAATCTTTCGCAATATTCACATCAGAAGAAAAACGAGCATGCACTTTCAAATCTTTCAACAGAAAATTAGTCATATTTCACATCTGGCAACATCCTGAACGCAGACGAGAATTTACCTTACACTTTACAATGAGTTACGTAATAAATTTCACACGACTTCACCCGTTTACCGGGTGCTTTATCTTAGCTATTCTATTTTGAAACCACTTGCATAGCTTGCATACAATATGATATAATTTATGCAAGTATTCACACCAGTTTTGCAATTTAAATGGTGGACCGTTGCTTTTGTATCTAAGTTTGCATGGCAAGTAAAGTTCGACTTTGGTATTATTTGATTTTGACAGCTTTCTGTGTTTCGTAATTAAACAAATACTTGCGTTAAACAGAATTCTGTAAAGAATTTTCAAAACTTCCTTCCTCATTTATGCACTACTGCATTGTCAGAAGCCGAGGCCAAATTTGAGGAATTTTATATTTCTACTAATCCTTGGAAATAAATTCCTAAAGGGATAAAATGTTACTTAGTTTTTTAATTCTGCAGATGCCACATGATTTTAATTTGGAGTCTAGAACTACGTCCTGTGTTTGGCATATCCTAAAATAATGGGACTTACCTATAAATAAGCTGACAATAAAACTGGTTATTTATTGAAATAGGAAGTGTGATATTTGATTTTATCTTTACTTTAACGTAACAATTGTCATTATTATAATAACTATGCCTATCTAGGTCTGTATGTGTTAGACTTTCTATTTGAGAACGCGCTAAAACAAATACGAAATTGATTATTTCGTAATGTCACTTCCGTCTCTTTATTTCCGTGATGTAATGTCAATTATCATTGTATTTACTCAATACCCATAGACAATTTAATGAATTTTATTTTTGATATAAAATTGTTGACTTATACGTATTTTGATACTTCCTCATTGTGTGAATTTAATTAGAAACTATATAGACTATTCGTATGATTATTATATTAAAGAAAACTTTTAAACTTTAGTAAGATATCTGGTGTACACACTTTAACTTTTCTCATAAATAACGAAGTTATTCTGCTATTTACAACAATGACTTGATCAATAAGAAAGATATCTATTTTAAAAATGTCTATTTCTTTATTTCCAGGTAGAGAATGACTTCGATAGACGAAGACAGGCCTCGCTACCGCATCCCGGGTTTACCGAGCACCAAACGAGATTCGGCCTAAGTTCACCGTTACAAGGCTTCCAGCAACAACAGGGATTAATCACGAACCCCCCACCCACAGTGCAGTTCCAACAATCCATATTCCCCCAGCAACAACCCCAGCAGCTTCCCCAGCAACCGCAGCAACCTTCCTACGTGCCGCAGTTCAACAACCACATCCCAAGTATCTCCAACAACTTGCCCCTACCAAACAACAACTTCCAATTCAACCCCCAGGCCAGCAACCCCCCGCTTCTACAGAACAACTTCCAACAACAACAAAACTTGAGACCGATCCCTCCACAAACACAGAACATTTTGCAACAGCCCATTCCCACGATACCAACCTATCAGAATGGACATCTGCAGCAAAACCCCACCTTCCAGCCAAGTATCCCCGCAACCGTCAACATCAACCAACAAAGACCAACACAGCAAGCTTTCTTACCCACCATCTCACCGGCACACAACCAGCCCATCAGCCAACCCATCTTCAGCCAGCCGAACCCCATAACTATTCAACCAGCACCGAACCTAGCTCCACAGAACTTTAACCCGAATCAAAACGCACAGCTCCCCTTCCAGGCGACTCTTGGCCAACAACCCATATTCTCTAATGGACAGTCATCTCAAATACAAGACATTTTGGAACAACAGTCCAAAGAGAATTTGGAGAAATTGAAGGAGTTGCAGGAAAGGGCGAGAATTATTCAGAAACACCAGGAGTTTGTGCAGAAACAGCAACAGAAGCAACAAGAGAAAGTAGAGAAGTTGCACGAAGAATTCGTAAAGAAACAGGCGACCAAATCAGTTCCAATTTACTCAACGACAGAAAATTACGAAGAGTATTTTAACAGGAACAATGAAAGGCGACGACCGATTCTGCCCCATGAGACTGATTTGTTCAAAAAAGCTGTTGAACTATACGAAAGAGAACACCCTACAACCACCACTACCACAACTACGACAACAACGACAACCACCCCGCCCCCGCCCCCACCTCCGACACCCAGGTACAGACCTCGTCCTAAACCAAAAACCAGGAACCCTCCCCAGGACAGAAACAAGCAGAAACTGTACAACGAAATCAAGAATCTCTTAGAAGAAAGCGAAACTAAGGGATTCGACGACAGCTTGAGAGCGAAGAGTGCCGAGCTATTGAAGAAGCCAGACATTTTGAAGCAACTTAAAGTAGCTCTTGCTGAAAACCCAGCAGACTTTTCCGAAAAGAACTTCTCATCCCGAGAGATATCACTAAATGGACAGAAGTACGAAGTAATTAGAACAACAAACCCTAACCTGATTCCCAAAGGTGCCATAACTGCTGACAGTTCTAACTTGGCACAAATCATGGCCGCTGCTCAGGCTGAACCACAAAAAGAGAGCAGAGTTTCAATTGAAGATCTGACGAAAGGTATCTTACCACCCGGTGCTAACTTCGAACTGATCAAACAAGCAGAAAATGGCAAACTTGAAGAAGTCAAAGCACCTAGTGAATTACAGAACAAAAAGAAAGTCACTTTCGTTTTCTTAGAAGAACAAGAAGACGGATCCTTCAAAGTCAAGGGAGTCAAAGCAAACGGACAACAAACCGAGGAAGGTCCTGAAGTGGAAAACATTTTGAAAAAGATTAAGAATGGTGAAATCCAACTGCCTGGACAGACAAAGATTTCCAACTCGATCTTCAGTTCAACCACTGCCAGTCCGATCACTGAAACAACGGACTACGTGGCAGCATCTTCTCACCATCCATCAAGTTACTCGACCTTCGTCAGTACCTCCAACCATGGATCCACAGGCCACACCATCCCCGTCTCCCACACTACACCGACGCCACACTTCCAGGCTTCTAGAAGCACAGCACAAACTCAGACACACTTCCCGTCTACCGTGACCGTGTCAAGTACAGAGCGATACAACACGAAGTCCAGTACCCCTGCCTTCGACTTCACGTCCAGTAGGAACAGCATCAACCAATCGCCTAGAATCACTTATCCTAGCTCGACCCTCTCAACGATCAGTACTACTCCATTCCGTTCCCAGGAGAAAGACTTAGTAGTGATTGGTTCTAGTACGATTGCTCCGACTATCAGTAGCACAGCTAACGTGGCGAGACAATCGTCTTCAGGAGCTAACCCGGGTCTAGTGGATATTCTTAAAGAGAATGGTCTATTTGCAACAGCGAAGTACTTGCGCCAGTCAGGTTTAGACACGATCCTCAACGAAACGGGTCCATACACCATTTTCGTGCCCACTGACAAAGCGTTTAGAACTCTGCTCGTCCAACTCGGAGGTCCAGACAAGGCTGAGGAGAAGTTCCGTGACAACCCTAGACTGCTTAGCGGAGTAAGTATAAAATGTATTTACACCAAAAGTTTCGTTTATTATGAACACAATGACATTTCGAACGTTTTCAAGATTCTTGTCTTCACAAAATGTAGCGGATAATCAAGATCTTTGTTACCATTGATTACCTCATATTTATTTAATCTGACATTATAAGTTTACAGTACCTTACTTAAGTTCGTAACAAAACAGACAGCTTAAATATCCCATTAAATTAACTAACAAACTTACCTCGAAACTTCCAGCTACTCCTTCACCACGTGATCCCCGGTGCCTTCGACATCGGCTCCCTCCAGGATGAGATGACAGGCGTCTCCCTTGCTGGCACACAACTCAGGGTGAACCAATATGACATGCATGATGTCGAGTGGAACGAGGTCCGCGTCACCACCATCAACGGAGCCAGGGTACTTGATGACAAGAAGGATATTCATATACCTCAGGTAATTAGCCTAAAATTTTCAATGCACTTAAAATGTTTACACAATCACAGTACTATAACTATTCACAACTTAACAATCAAAGGTCGACAGGTAAAGAATACTTGAGCAACGAAGTGCAATTTAGCTTGCAGTAAGATTAATTTTTTTGAACTTATCTTTTTTCTAGGGCATAGCTCATGCAGTGGACCGAGTAATGTTCCCGCTACCAGTGGGCGACCTAGTGCAGACGTTGCAGGCTGACAGGGACCGCCGGTTCACTACCTTCTTGAAGGCTATACACGCTAGCGGCTTCGCGGAGACTCTTGCAGGTTTGTTAATTGAGAAATTTTGTGGCGAATAAGATTTAGGACCTATAAAAACTGTGACGGAACGATATTGTTTTTTCACACAAGTCTTTTTTATTCCCTGAAGTAGTAGAATGCCAAATATTAACGTTTAGTAATCTATAATTTCCTTTTTACACGGGGAATAGGTCTAAACTAGCAAGAATTTCGAATTAAAACTAAGCTATCGAAAAGCTTTCTTTCTTTTTTCTTCGCACATAAATCAAAGAGCATTCAATAGGAAACAAAGTACATGAATCATAACTAAAAGAATTTTCTTTTTCCAGAAAGCAAAACCTACACAGTATTCGCGCCAACGGACGCGGCATTCGCTCGCCTACCGCCCGCGGATCTCGCGCGGTACGCGGAGAAGGCCGGAGCCAGAGCACTAGTGGCCAGACATGTGTTGCCAGGCACGCTGTACAGTGCTGGCATGAGGTACTACCAGCTAAGAAACTCCATGGAGGACGCTAAGCCATTGACGTTGCAGAAGAATGCTGGTAAGTTGAATATATTTGGTATTTTGCTCAAATTGTTGGATTCTGCAACACATTGTTGGGTTAAATATTTAGATCGACAAATGTGTGACAGAGTTAAGTACGTATATGTACATTTTTGCCGTAATTTCTTTATACAAACTTCTTAAAAATGCAATCCATTTGTATAAGAATTTCAGTTATGTGATCATCTCTGCCTATCATTTCAGTGATAAAAGGCGTGACGTTACAGAAAACTATTTCAGTACAGATTATTAATGACTGATGATAATGAGATTTATTAATAACGCTTTCCCATTTTTTCAGGTCGCATCAAAGTGAATAACGCGCAAGTAATAACGCATAACATCCCTGCAACGAATGGCGTGATCCACGCAGTCGACGCGGTCCTGTAGCGTGCGCCGGCGCACCCCCCACCAATTAGCTTCAATGAAGCTTAGCGCACACGTCAGTCGTCGACCGACCACGCCAAGATACGCACGACAGCGTCATATAAATATAATATAATTTTAAGACTGTAAATAACGTTAGATTAAGGTAATAATTTATATATGCGTGTTAGAATTTGTAAATAAAGTTTTTTAATTAATTAATTGGATCTTTATCTTATAGAAATTTTATTTCAGTGCTGACATAATTTCAACATTGTTCCTCAAATGATTAATATTTATTATTCCTCAAATCTATTCCATACTTGGGATAGGTATAACTTAGATTTCGCAATTAAGATTTAATTTTGAAAACAACTACAGTTTCTTACCGCTGAGAAAAAAAAAAATAAAACAAAAATATTATCAATCCATAATACTATATTATTGTTTAAATAGAACACACACATACACACCAAAATCACTGATTTTAAGTACACTTTTACATAGTCCAATACAACCAATTACATATCCAATACGCATGCACACTGACCACTATCCAAAATCTCGAATTTTTCAAAAATCAAAGACACGAACACTGGGCAAAAACAAGTTCGTTACCAAGAACTTCGAAAGTATCGCTTTTCAATTGCCTGGGTGATTTACTAATGATTATTTATTTAAAATAATGACTAAAAGACCAATACCTAAAAATACGAGTATATTGAAATCAAAAGCAAATCATAATTTGACAAGAATGACATTACAAAATTGTCAACGCCCTTCCGAGATGGCGCTAGTGAGCTAAACTCTTATTAGTCCAATCAGTAATTGGGTGATTCTTCAAAATTGTTTACAATGAAATAACGGCGTCATTATTCTCAAACCAAAGTTAACAATGCTGCAGTGTTTTATATAAATGTGTTTTACACAAAAGGAGATCATTTCGGATCCATACGTATTTGGGCCTTTTCTGAAAATGCTTGCCCACGAAAAAAAAAGGTACTCACCGTTAGAACTAGCCATTTGAAGCAATAGTTAATATGGCATAAAAGTTGTAGGATCCAAGATGAAGAAGTTATATCAGTTCGAAGATTAATCAGTTTCATACATTTATTGCTTTCTAAAAGGTGCTAGGAAACGCAAAATAATGGTGGATGGATATTTTTTACTCACTACTTACAGAAAAGGCCTAAAAAATTATCTCCTTTGGTTTCAAGAAACTGAGCCGTATCATTGCACCGTTCCAATAAAACTACAGACGATAACAAGTTATTATGGTGCTTAAAAATTCGGGGAAACAATGATTTGTTAAATAAAAGTTAAAGTTTTTGAAAAAACACCCAATTAGCTAATATTTTATTATGCAATACGTCATATTAACCTATACTAGCGCTTCTGGCGGCGCAAAGCGAAACACCATAATACCTCTACCCCCATTATGGTTTAAGGCAGTAAATAATTGTGGGTTTCTTCGATTATAATCAAAGAAGTATTTTTCATTAAAATACTAATTAATCAGATCACGTTTAAGAAATATTACATTTTGCCATTTTTTTTAAGTTTATTTTTAACATTCTTTTTTCACAATTTGTAATGAGATTTATGAACAATGGTACCCACATGGCCTTCAAGACTTATAATTGAACTTGGCCAGCATTAGTTTCAACTGGGCAATCTCATCGTCTTTTGCCGCTAATTCTTCTCTTAAATTCTTAATAGTATCATCCTTATTTTCAGCTAAATTCTTCAGTTCTTCCAATAGTTGGGCAGTATCAAGTCTTTTTGCTGGTCTCCTTTGGACCAGTTTGCCTATAATATGTGCTATCTTGGGATAGTTGGCGGTCAAATGTGCTGGTATCTGGCCTTTCCGAAGGTCTGTGATGGTTTTCACGCGCTCCATGTCTGTGCTGAAGGGCTCCACCATCTCCAGGAGAATGATACCCAGGCTGTACATGTCGCTCTGTAATGAAAAAGTAAAATTGTTATAATTAAGTAATAGCTTGAAGTCTGGTATTGCACTTAGTGATTGTCCTCCCCTTTTGAAAGGTCATAATAATCAATACAGGAGTCAGTTAAAATGCTTTCCATTACTAAGAGGAAATATTTTTTATATATACCTATTAAAGAAATATTAAGTCTAATGCTCACCTTAGGATTACACTGGCCGTCCAACTGCTCCGGCGCGGCGTATAAATGAGTTCCCAAAGCCAAACCGCTGTGAGACTGCTGTAATGGACAAGCCAATCCAAAATCACCCAGCTGGACGGTCACACCACCCTCACTCTGAGCCACAAACACATTACTAGGCTTTATATCATGATGGATGATCCCTCTAGAATGTATGTAGTGCAATCCCTTCACCAACTGCGTGAACATGTCTATCAGAACATCAATATGCGTCCAAGCCACTGGATAAGTCATATCGTGAGATTCAAGGCACGCAGACTCCGATGAATCGCAGTGATGCAGAGTTATATCCTCAGACCCTTTCCTACTGGCAGTCATATGCTGGTTTCTATCATCTAACCACTGTTTTAGCGTCTGTTGGCAGAATGTCATCTGAATGTACAAGGTCGCCCATTTCAGGTTCACTCGAGAGCAGTTCTCGAACTCCTTGCTCGAGAATAAGTTGCATACGGCATTGTCATCTTGTGGCGATGGGGTTTCTTCGTCCGATATAAACTCAGACTCTTCCAGGTCTTCTTTAGAACTTGTATAACTGTTAGAGTTTTGGAATGAAATGACAAAGTCCGACAAACTTTCATGGTTAATCAGCTCTTTAGAGTTGTGCGTTTTGAAAGATGTTATTATGTTTGGATGAGCAGATGATATTAAGTTTGAGTTAATACTAAAATCTTCGCTGTCTGTGTCCATTTTGAATTTTCGCTTCTTCTTCACAGTGGATTCTATCATTGGTTCCAGCCAAGCCGCTTTATAATTCACTATGTTGGGGTGATTGAGACTGGCGATAGTTTTTACTTCTGCCAAATGTGTCATAATGGAATCAACGTCTGATGATTTTATATAGACCTTTTTGACAGCATATTCAACACCATCCAATCTGTGTTTGGCTTTGAAAACGCTTCCAAAGCCCCCACCAGCTATGAAGAACAGTTCTTCGAATTCGCGATGGTATCTGGACCACTCGAGGCCTGATGGTTGGACTATGGGCCAGGTTGCTGGGAGAGTGATGGGAATTTCGGAGCCACTGGCGACAGCGACGAGTTGGTATAAGGCACGTTGGTATTGGCTCCTCATTGCTTCAAATTCTCCCATGGCATAGGAGTCATCTATGAGGTTCATGCTGTGTAACTTTTCGCATATTGTGTTGTAGAGTTGGTTGGCTCTGATGTTGTCTTTCTCCAAGAGTGAACATAGTTGTTTGACGAGGGATTGGACGAGTAGACTGATGGGGGTGGTTGCCGCAGAATTGATTACTTCGATCTGCTCTAAGCTCTGATGAAAAACTGGCTGGTGGCTACTGTTTTGAGTTATCCCTGAAATTGAGAAAAAAAAAAACAATTAGACATCGTATCATCAACAAAGATCTATCAGGAATGATAAGGTTATTAAGGTATGTTAAAGAGAGCTATAGCGAAAATCATTTTTCACGGAATACAAAGACAAGTTTTGTCTTGTTAGTGCTTGGAAGCGAATTGTTGAGCACGAGGATTCTTAATCTATCGCAAAATCATACAAGTATCACGTTTTTACTAGAATAGAACAGAATAACAGAACATCTCCAGCGTTTATTCTATGCTAACATTGAAAAGTGCGTAGTTCTCGACCTAGGATGTTTGTTAGGCATGACAGAAAATAAAAATATTTCATATACAGAACTAGACGTCACCATGAAACTAAGAGAGTATTGAATTGTTGGAAATGATTCAATTATTAGGATGGTACGTTTCTTTATTTTCATGTAAATCTACGTTATAACAGTGATGACGTCACATGGCGACCGGTTTATCGTTTGATTGAAGGCTGTGACAAATTGTGAGTGTGACTTGCACTTAAATGCAGAAATGGGTAGTTATTATGAGTTATTTCTCAAACAATCGCCTTTACACTACATTATCAATCAATTCAATTATACCTAGTTTTAACTTCTAGTTTTCTACAGACTGCCTCATTGGCCGAGTGGTCGCAAGTGCGACTGCCGGGCAAGGGGTCTCGGGTTCGATTCCCGGGTCGGGCAAAGTATTACTGGGTTTTTAAAAATCTCAGTAGTAGCACGGAGTCTGGAAAAATGTGCCCGGTATATGGCAATAGGCTCACCCCCTATTACATGGGACTCATAACATAAATAGTGAAAAGTGGGTGTTACATTGTACAGTGGCATTAAGTGCCGAAATGTGCACCTCTGCCTACCCCTTCGAGGATAAAAAGGCGTGATGTTATGTTATGTTGTTATGTTTTCTTCAGTTCTAGTCTTGATTCTAGTCTGGTAGATTTTCTTAAAGCCTAAATTCTGAATACGTACGTTCGTAATAACATAAATTGGACACATAAATTAATGACTTAGATAATAGAAGGTACAGGGAGGCATAATATCGTAACAGCCTAGTTCATGGGAACTTAGAATGACAATAAAATGACATTCTGACCAACTATTTGACAAATTACCAGATTTATAAGTAACGAGCTTGACCTGCCCATGACTTCGACTAATTCGTACTTTGATTTCGTAATCGGATGTAAAATGACCCGCATCGTATTCCTAATAGGATCTATATTGGTAATTGGCGTGTCCTTGTTACAAAACGCTAAGAAGTGTTACAAAATAGCACCCAACTCTATAAATTACAAAAAAAGGAAAATAGATCTATCTATCTTTAATTTATATCAAATCATAATGTTTCGTAGAACAGTCGCATCACATACGACTGCATATTTATTGTTCACGGATCATGAATAAATAACGGTAACGATCGATGCCGGATCATGCCCCGTTTGAAGGATTCATGAAATATTTATTCCGTATAATTTTTTGTATCGATTAAACAAGGCTAACATTTTGTATTATCAATAATATTATTGTGAGGTCTCTTTCAATTTAGCTGTTTCGTTTTATACCATTGCTTGCAATGCCATAAGATTGCTCTGTGCCTGAAAATCTGGGGTCGTAAATTAAAATAGACTCGTCCGTTCACAATGATCTTTTTTTGAATCTTCGATAATAAAAGAAAAGAAACAAAATTACGAACAATAAACTGACTGACTGCCTCGTTGGCCGAGTGGTGGGTTTCGGATAGAGCAAAATTGTACTGGGATTTATAAAAGAAAAAAAAAACTCAGTAGTAGCACGGAGTCTGGAATGGTGCCCGGTATATGGTAATAGGCTCACCCCTATTACATAGGACTTATAACATAAATAGTGAAAATTGGGTGTAAAATTGTACAGTGGCAATAAGTGCCGTAATGTGCACCTCTGCCTAACCCTTCGGGGATAATAAGGCGTGATGTTATGTAAAATAATACGAACAAACAATAAAAAACAAAAGCAAAACAAAAAAAAAAAAAAACAAAATGCCAGATTGTTGTAATTTTAAATGAGGTCAGTAAAGAAAATAAAATTATTAATATTTATAAGAGATCCGAGTAACGGTGAAGATAATGGGACAACATAAACATGCGCATAATTATATTTTCATTGTAAAACGTTACTTTTTTGTATCTCCAATAAGGTCTATTCTACATTATTCAAAAGTTTCAAGTTAAAAGGGGGCTCAAGGCCAAGGACTTCTTTATATGCGGGCTGTAAAATAAATTGTGTTCCACCTAGAAAACACGATGCATTGTGCATCTCTCCAAAAACACAATTGAAATTGAGCCCTATTGTCTACACATAGAGTATTAAATTACGTGCGTTACGTCCCAAGTAAAACGCGTAATTGTAGAAAAGAATAATGAGCTTGAAGTAGTCGTCAATAAGGTTCATTTTTGTTTGTACAAATACTTTGCAACTTTCTGGAATGTTCTCAAACCGCAGTCAACCATTGAATTTTATTGTGATGGGAACTCGACACGGTGACATAGAGCATTAACCGCAGGAAGATAAAAGTTTGTATTAGTTAGTATAAATATGTATTAATGGCACAACGTTTGTTTTGTGTGATCTGAGACTTAGGCAGTTCGTAAAAATACTATTTGTCAGTTTCATAAACCCGGTTACCTATGGATGCCTTAGCTAATGTGTTACGGATAATTTCGCAAACGCGAGTTAATGCCAGAGCGGATTAGGAGGAGCCCTTAGATCGTCTTATTTAGGTATATTTCTGCTCTGTGATCTCCATACTACATTTACGTCATTCAATAAGTTTAAATACACGGAAAACATTCTTTTGGAAGTTTTAAGCAAATTGGGAAGCAATATTGATGCCATTAGCCTATTTGGAAAAAGGCCAAACGATTCCAAACTTCCTCAAATATTGCGAAAACTATGCAAATCACGGTAGCGACTGTATTGCTTAAGAAATTTCCTTCTAGCTAATAGTTAGGCATATTGCCAATTATTTGATAACAGGGCTGAATGTAGCTAATATTATCATGTTTATTCTCTTAATAATCTGTGGTTACGTAGTCAGCGCGACTACAGAGCAAGGGCCCCGGTTCTCTCGCAACGTAATTAGGTAGTTAGGTCATCCGATTTAGTTATGATGGAAAACTTAGTTAGTAGTCCGGTGCCTAGAATAATGGCAATAAGCTTGCCACCATAACAGTCGAAATGAAGGATTTGCCTTGCCTACCTTTCGGAACAGAAATTAACTACTTGATTCTTTAGCTGTATTTCACAAAGGACGGTTATTTTACTCTTTGTCTGATCATGAGTATACATGACAATTTACTATGCTGAATTTGCAAATTACTTCAGTAGACACCCACCTACATAAATTATCAACTCTCATGATAAAAACTAAATGAATCATTAATTATGATATAGAATATTTTTTGTGCACCAAAACACGTGGTAGGGGCCGTCGACATAATGAAGCCACGTGTTTCATTTGTCAGTTATTTGGATTATACGTCTACCTTAAGGAGTCGTGTTTGATATTCATACGCCTTTCTGTAATTGACTGTAGTTATTTGTAATGTGTGCTATCTACTATTTAAGAAAAAGCGAAGGTCTGCAAATACATACATTAAACCCTTCGTCGCTCAGGCAGTCAGTTCACGTATTTAGGTAACCCAGTTTCCTCATTTAACAAGATGAGACAAGTGCTAAACACAAACAAAAATTACCTAAATTAATCCGTGGTATACGCCGGATATACGTGAGACTCAATGTGTTTTCTATTGTGTCTCATATGCCGACAGATAAGCAGTTAAAAGATGTTATATAACAGTAATGCCCACAGTATAATCTATTGAAGAGAATTATGGATGATATTAATTCCCATGAAAGATGTAAAATTATAAGGAAATATGTAAACAATTTATTAGGTACTAGCTACTTCCGCGCGGTTTCACTCGCTCTGCTCGGCGCCTATTAATCGTAGCGTGATATTTTATAGCCTATAGCCTTCCTCGATAAATGGGCTATCTAACACAGAAAGAATTTTTGAAATCGGACCAGTACTTTCGGAGATTAGCGCGTTCAAACAAACAAACAAAAAAACAAACTCTTCAGCTTTATAATATTAGTATAGGTAGATATAGATTTTCTATAAATAGCAACTTGATGCAACTGCCAGGTTTATGTTGCAATAATACTATGGTTAGGCACTAACATTAATTATTGTACAGTAGATACCTACTTTAAGTATGTACTTCTATTTTCATACACTTAGTTATGGTAAATGAGTAGATACCATTTATTTTTATTTTTTATTTATATATATACCTAATTCTTTAATTAGTTGTTAAGGATGTGACTTATTAAACACAGTATTTATTTATTGAAGATATTCAATATTAAATACATTGAAATTCATCTAAGAAGCCAAATTATTTTAACGTTTATTTCTCAAAAGAAACAAAGGTAATATAATATATTTTTGTAAAAACAATAATATCTATATTTTGTCTGAATCACAAATTAACTATTATTACTGCACTGTGATGTGATATATAGATAGCTACGTATTATGTACTTTTATCAATATTTGTTATGAGCAATACAATTTCCACTGGCTGCTTCCGATTTACATCAGTTTCTTTATCTGATAACAGTTTTATATTATCAACAACATATTTTTGTATTTCATACCTATGTTTTGTCAACAACAAATTTTACTTTACAGAAATATCATTTTTCAGAACTTAATTTAGACTTGAATGGAAAATTTCTATAGATGGAGACTCGGCACAAGTCAATTGGCATCCCGAATGTGAAAAAAGGCACTAAGGGCAGAACTATACACTTCATCAATTCCACCTCTTTTGGTCACACTCCCACCTTCTTTTTCATTCTATTTAATAGAAGTTTGTTGTAGACAATGGTGGTCAACCATCATCTACTTTCAAACACCGCGAGGACACTGGTGTCCGCACACCTATTGTTCTTTAATTGTGCCTATAATGACGGTACTCAAAGGTTGAATGACCTACTTTAGGTATGTGATAACATACTAGAAAATCACAATTATTATGTATTGATGTTATAATTATAATATCTATGAGCACCTAACCTTACTAATACATGTTCTATAAGGCTAGCATGCTAGCATTTCATGTAACACATTTTTTTTACTTGTTGAGTAACAAGAACCAATCAAATTATGTCTATGTCTCCTAATCTCCTTTTTAGCTGAAATAGTACCTAGAATAGATTCTTTATTTGAAATTGAAATAAAAAAAAATACACACTCGGGACCTTAGGGCTGAGTGATGGCCAGTAACAATTTGGCCATGTTATTCAATAGCAATAAATACTAAGGAACAATAAAAAAATCTTGTTGGCAGTGCATGCGCATGCACAGTGCACCGTGTGCTTGCAAAACAAGTTATACAGTTCATTGACCTTTTAGTTTGCTGTGTAGTCTGTACTTATTGTGGAATGTACGGAATAATTCAGATCTTCATAGTTCACAAATGACAATATGAGCTACTAGATTTCATCATACATCTAGGCAAGGTGTAGGAGTAATAATAGATACGTGGTTTAACGGAAAAATGAGAAGGTTATATTTCTCGTATACCTACCTGGTTTAGATGTCGTATCGATAAAAATATAAAACGCACATGATTGATTACAAATATTTATGTGTTTTACGTAGAGACTTTCAAGGCTAAATATTATGATATTTTTCAAGAAGACAATGTTGAGATCTAGATTTATAGGATCATAATTAAATACTCACCTAAATCAAAAGATTTAATGGTAGCCAAAGCCTTCCACTTGTCCTGCATTTGTTTATTTTCCATGGTGATCCTTTCTTGTCCTTCACGTTCAGTGATCAAAATATTGCAGCCAAGACTTCAACTCCATAAAGTCCCGAAAAGCCATTTCACTCACTCAAAATACATTTTGTTTTATTTATTTTTTTCACTACAAAACGTATTATTGACTAAATATTAGCGAAAACTAACAAAAATAAAACGACAACGAATTTCACATACAATCTCGATTGCTCTACAAAATTGACTATTACCCCTATACTTATTATACTCTTTGCTATACACCATAGACAACTGGGCCGTCACACTTAGAGCCATTGACAGCTTAAAATTTCGAACCTGAAATTAAATGTTGTCAAAACTAATATTTTCAGTGGCCACACAGTTCCAAGCAAGGTTGCAACATTATTTTAAAATTTAGGCTTAAAATATTATTTTTCGGAAATAGTAAAATAACATTATACACATTTATTTAATACTATATTGCAATTTTTACAAAATAATTCCTTAAACTTAGATCAAATGACAGTTATGCTGGCATAATCGATCAAAGATGACAGCCTCTTTACTAATAATAGAGATTAAAAAAATATTAAGTGATGGATGACAAACTAAACTCTATGAAATGACTGCGTCAGGTTTCTGCATCCAAAAGCATTAACCTAAGAGCCTGTGAACCTCAGGTCTAGGCCACCGTTTTTATTATATAAAAACTAATATTATATGAAAATAGTCAATTTTCATAGAAAATCTATAATTATATACAGAAAATAGGTCGCACGCATTCTTTCTGTCTCTCTATCACACACACACACACACATTCACACACATACTTTATCTTTCTCGATAAATGCACTAACTCTATCTCGTTCAGTCATCGTCTCTGATTAACAATTTGACAGCACCATCATTTTCACCACCCTCGAGAACCATGAAAACGACACCTATAACGATAAATTGAAAATACCGTGCAGCCGCCATCTTGGATTTGCATTTTGACAGCACCATCTTTGTTACCACCCTCGAATACCATGAAGACGATACTCATGACAATAAATTCAAAATTTTGTGCAGACGCCATCTTGGATTTACATTTTGACAACACCATCGGCTTTATCACCCTCGAAAACCATGGAAACGACACCCATGACGATAAATTGAAAATTTCGTACAGCCGCCATCTTGGATTTGCATTTTGACAGCACCATCGGCTTTTTCACCCTCGAAAACCATGAGAACGACACCCATGACGATACATTCAAAATTTTGTGCAGACGCCATCTTGGATTTACATTTTGACAACACCATCGGTTTTATCACCCTCGAAAACCATGAAAAGGACACCCATGACGATATATTCAAAATTTTGTGCAGACGCCATCTTGGATTTACATTTTGACAACACCATCGGTTTTATCGCACTCGAAAACCATGAAAATGACACCCATGACGATAAATTGAAAAATGTTGTGCGCACGCCATCTTGGATTTACAATTTGACAGGACCATCGGCTTTATCACCCTCGAAAACCATGAAAACGACACCCATGACGATAAATTCAAACAGACGCACGACTTTTATGCAGACGTCAGCCCTGTTCATTTCCATTTGATCCAAGTTTTCGAAGATATTATTCATAATAGCTAGTCATTAATTGATTAATTACTAGTCATTACGAATAATATCAAATTAATCACTTTGGCTGTAACATATGTATACACATTTAGATCAAATTGATACTCCTTTTTTAAAGTCGGTTAAAAAAGAATCATCAAAATACGTTAAAAAACGACGAAGTCATCCCTGAAGGAACATAAAAAAACCTTATAGGTATATAACTTTTCCCTTTTTTTAAGTCTGTTATGTGTAAATAACAAAGGTCTGGGGTTCATAGGCTCTTGTACTATATGGATTGTCAAATTATTATTTTTTACGGCAACGCTGGGGCTAAAAAAAATATTAAAACGTTACAATAATAATTTTCCAAATTATTTGATTATTATCTAATTAAAATAATAACATAACATAACATAACATCACGCCTTTTATCCCCGAAGGGGTAGGCAGAGGTGCACATTACGGCACTTAATGCCACTGTACAATGTAACACCCACTTTTCACTATTTATGTTATGAGTCCCACGTAATAGGGGGTGAGCCTATTGCCATATACCGGGCACAATTCCAGACTCCGTGCTGTTACTTAGATTCTTTTTAAAACCCAGTTATACTTTGCCCGACCCGGGAATCGAACCCGAGACCCCTTGCCCGGCAGTCGCACTTGCGACCACTCGGCCAACGAGGCAGTCAGTCAGCAGTGATTATAATTAAAATAATATTGTTAATAATTAGATATTGATGTTAAATACTTTTTTATATTATCTCCTTATTTTATAAAATAGTATGCATGTAGTTTGTACTATTTTAATACTGGCATATAATATGTATACTTTTTGCTTGATAAAGAAAAGAAACAAAAACAAAAATTTGAAATGTCAAAATTGTAAAAAATTTTGCCAAAAATATTTTAAATTATTTAATAAATTGTGATGGGATTTTGTGATTGTTTTTCTAAAAAAGGAAGTTCTGCGATGCGTGTTGTGTTTTCTATAAAAGACCTTTTGTATACATGTGTATCTCAAATCACAAAAGTACATTGTGTTTGTTTGTCTATTCATTGGACTTGATTTTACAAAGGAACGCTTTAATTTGCGTATATATCTTATTTATAATAAAGAACATCAATACGAAGAATACAATCATGTTGCTGAAGGTAAAACTTACAACAAGTTTATGATTTTTGCTATTGAACCTATTTATACATTTTATTTGATTCATTGAGATACCAAACTATGTAGTTTTTATAAATTTCTACTATTTCTTTTGTGTATTTGTTACAGTGATATTTGGAATTGCTATTGCATCGATATTACTTCAGCATCATCATTGCAAAATATCAATAGTGCAATTTTTTATCGGCAGTTACGAGTCTTACGATGTCCGGATAAAGTGCCGATCTATACCAGCAGTGCTTGAAACCTATTTTAGAGATGGTAAATACTATATTATTCTTGTAACATCAGTAATATCACGTAAGGTACACCTTAGATAAATAAAAGAAAACAAATAAATAAAATACATATTTCTGCATGTAAAAATAATCTTTGTTTTTTTTTCAGGTACTATTTGGAATTATTCTAACATTCAGACGTATATTGTTGTCTCAAGAAACAAGAAACTCATAGATCGCTGCAAATATTAAAGCCGTATTATTTTTGTAAAACTATTTTTATCTTTGTATTAATGGTCCGCCGGTGGCCCGTGTTGCTCTATGTATTAATGTATATATCATAATTAGAACAACATTTTAAGTACCTACGCACAACAAAGTAATATTAAATTATAAATAAACTAAAATAGGTACATATTCACACTTTAAAAAAAATGTTACCTTAGGGCATCAAAAAATTCTTTTTCATCGCTATCGTGGAGTAGGGTGCCCAAAAGACTGGCAGCATTATTCTAGGTTTTACTTATTTGTATTCATATATGTAGAGGTCTCTCCTTCTTGGGCTTGACCTGGTGAAAATGGGCACCGCTTCCCGCAACCCGCAGGAAAAACGATGCTCATAGCCCCTTCTAAATTTGACTTATAAATCTCCTTCTTTCTCTTCTGCTGACTACTTGACTACTAACTGGGTGTAGTTTGTGTGCCAGATGTGGATTGTGAGCTTCATGTGATGGTTGACTGAGTGGTATGTGGTGTTTGCGCTTGAGATGGTTGTAATTGATCGGAATCTGGAATGTATGTGACGAAAACTGTGTCTCCTAGTACTTTGCTAAGAATGATTATTGTGTGAATGGTGGCTAATGTCTATTTATGTTTCTAGTTTGTCTGTGTATCTGCTGAGGCTTTTGGCTAGTACCTACTCCTGTGGCTCCAATTACTATAGAATTAACATGCGTTTCAATATTTCAAGGCGTCTAGCCTTGAGTTGTGTCTTTAAAAAGTGGTATTTACTGAATTTCTTTTGCTCCTATGTTGTAGTTACATGGTACAGTTATGTCAAAGAGGTATGTGGTGTTGGATGTTTTGTTTGTGTATATTATGTCCGGTCTGTTGTGGGCAACTGTGAAGTCTGTCTGAATTGGGATTTCCCACATTATTTTGCCTGTTTCATTTTCATTTGTATTTATAATAATAATATTACTTTGTTTCATTATAATGTTATAAAAATATTATATTTGAGGATAGGAAAAATCTGTAGTTGTTTAGTAAAAATGACTGTAATATAACTAGATATAGGAAACGACTAAGTCAGGCATTATTAGCAACTAGCAAAAAAAAGTACTAAAAAACTGAGACTGACTGAGAGGCAGACTGAGACTTATTTTTAAGCACTATATTTTTCGACATTATAATAATAAGTGCGACTGCCGGGCAAGGGGTCTCGGGTTCGATACCCGGGTCGGGCAAAGTATTACTGGGTTTTAAAAAAATCTCAGTAGTAGTAGAGTAGTCTGGAAATGTGCCCGGTATATGGCAATAGGCTCACCCCCTATTACATGGGACTTATAACATAAATAGTGAAAAGTGGGTGTTACATTGTACAGTGGCATTGAGTGCCGAAATGTGCACCTCTGCCTACCCCTTCGGGGATAAAAAGGCGTGATGTTATGTATGTTATGTTATGTAAATTGTATAATAATTTTGTGTTTTTGTAAATACTGTAAGCGATTCAAATCGATGGTAAAATGTACTACATTTGTGTAGGTATTACGGTTAATTTATATCATTAGATTGTTAACTACTGTTAGGTACTGTGTAAACAACGGTGAACAGTAAATATTTTTAATTTTAGTTCTTTGTGGGATCAATAATTAAAAAAATAACTAATTCAAATAAATTTTGAACGACATATTTATATCTGAAATTTGTAAACATAAAATTAAAAAGAACTAAAATTTGAATTATACTTTGAACAAATCTGTCGTCTGATATTTCCCTACTAGCTGATAATTTTTAAATGTTAATTTGTATTTACTGTAAAATAAATGTAATATTGTAATTAATAACTTCTTTGATTTTGCAGCAACCAGACATAGCTAATTCCAATACTACCTTCAATGTACCAACCTGCAAGGTGCATTGTTGGTAGTATTGGCATTAGCTATACTTAGGATTATCTGTAGACATTAGTAAAAAAAAAATATACTTGGATTCAATTTTCAGATGGCGTTTCAAATTGATTGGCATAAATTTTGACGAGTGGCAACTCTTTACCCCTATACTTATTATACTCTTTGATAGACAAGATAGAATATGGAAAATGTCAGAAGGTTGTCATTCAAATGACATCTATTTGAACTTCTTAAAATAATTCAAACGATTAAGTGACAATAATTTTATAATTAAGTACAGAGTTTTGTAAATTAAATGATTTTACAGATCTGTGTTACCTAAATAATGATTTATTATAAAATTAAAGTCAAATCAAATCTGTAATTTCTGGACGTACTTCGTCTTTTTTGTTTATGATACTAATGTCAAATGATTAATGAAGTTGACAGCAAAACAATCGCAAAGGAGATCCATGTGCAATAATTAATTTCTTTAGAATTTTGTGTAATACAATATTAAAACAAAATGAATCTATTACCAAAAAGCCACAAAGAGTTTAGCGACAAAGACTACTGGAATAAATTCTTCAAAAAACGTGGAAATAAAGCGTTTGAATGGTAGGTTAAAATCGTAATTTATAACAAAAACATCTTGTTTCTATTCAATTAAACAAGATTAAAACTATTTACTAAAAAATTTTCAGGTATGGCGAATACTTAGAGTTATGTGGACAGCTTCATAAGTACATAAAACAGAAGGATTCTATTCTAATAACAGGTTGTGGTAACTCGAGCCTCAGCGCCGACTTGTACGATGTCGGGTATCAAAACATTACAAACATTGACGTCTCCGAAGTGGTAATCAAGCAAATGAATTCGATTAACTCCCATAGAACTAATATGAAATTTCTCTGTATTGATGCTTTGAACACAACCTTTTCTGATGAGCAATTTAACGTTGTATTAGATAAAGGCACCCTAGACGCCCTTATGCCGGACGATTCAGAGGAAACAAAACAAACCATAGACAAATACTTTTCTGAAATCAAAAGAGTATTGAAGCTTGGAGGTCGGTTTGTGTGTATATCTTTGCTTCAGAGCCATATTCTTAGTAAATTATTGGACAGTTTTTGTGACAAATCATGGATGTTTAGAGTTGTGAGATGTCATGAAGCTGAGGAGAGAAATGCTGAGGATAATGATGGTCCTACATTACCTGTGTTTGTTGTTATTGCTACAAAGTTTAAGGCTATGCCACAATTGGTAAGTTTAGAATTGTATTAATCTTGTACTAAAACATGAATAAAGTTGCTTAATATAAATTTAATCTGTTTAACAAGTATTCTAGTTGGAAACCAACCATGAAAGAGTGTAAAAGAAAATATAATGAGTAATTATCTTCAGCTTTTTGAATAATATTTTTTACTAGCTTTTACCCGCGGCTTCGCTCCCGTCACAAAAGGATAAAAAGTAGCCTATGTGACATTATACCATTACACACAGGGCCATCTATACCAATAATTTTGTTTTCCCTCGGGAATATCAAATTTTTCCGGGATAAAAAGTACCCTATTATTTAATGTAGACTTCTAACTTCACGTCTGCAAAAATTCAAAGCAATCGGTTTAGTAGTCACAGCGCGAAAGTGGAACAAACAAACTCACTTTCCGATTTATAATATTAGTAAGGATTAAACTGTCAAACACCGCGACGACACCGGTGACCGCTACCTATTGTTCTTTAATTGTGTCTACAATGACAGTACTCAAAGAGTTAACCCATTGTCTCTTTTTATTTCAGATATTAGAAGTATGTATGGCTGGTGACAAAATGCAAAGACTACAGACTGCTGAGGAGCTGAAGACTTACGTAAAGACTGCTCAAGACGCAGCTTTTGTCACTAATGGACTTGCCAAAACTAGTTTAGATGAGGACAATGAGGTATGTATTAAATGAAATGAAAATACATCTATACTAATATTATAAAGCTGAAGAGTTTGTTTTTTGTTTGTTTGTTTGAATGCGCTAATCTCCAAAACTACTGTTTTGATTTGAAAAATTCTTTCTGTGTTAGATAGCCTATTTATCGAGGGAGGCTATAGGCTATAAAATATCACGCTACGGTTAACTCGTCGAGTACCGTATTTATAGACACAATTAAAGAACAATAGGTTTCGGTCACCGGTGACCGCTTGGTGTTTGACAGTTTAATAGGAGCTGAGCAGAGTGAGTGAAACCGCGCGGAAGTAGCTAGTTCTTTATAAACTTAATTTGTATTTACAACAAAGTGCTATTCTACAAAAGAGAACTGCAGAATTTGGTATAAGATGATGAGGTATAGCTATAAGGTTTTGAAGAGCAAAGTTTATTTTAATTATTTATTATATTTTTTGGACTTGGAAACATTTTGAAATGGAATTAAAATATGATTAATTTTTTTTTTCATCTTTGGCAACTGAGTCTCCAATATGATGTTGTCGACTATACCGCCAGTGTCGAATATATAAAAATTTTAAAAATCATTTTATAGTTGTTATTTTGTTGTCATACCTAGGTACATACCTGTAACTTATCTTATTAACAACAAAACACATTCGCCATATTAAAAATGTTCTAAATAATTTTCTTCAACTTATCAAATTAGTTCTACTTTATTTCTGTTGCTAAATGATATAAAACAGAAGTAGATGGATGTATTTAAAATTATCCATAGCACAATAAATTATACATTATGGTTTTTTTTTAATAAATTTAATAAACAAACAGTTTTTCTGTAGGTTTCCCTAGACCTGATGCAGCCCGGAGAAGACACACCAAGGTACACATTATATGTGGTAGACCAGAAGAAGACACAGGCTATCAACAAGTATGCTGTTTTCATAGTGCCACAGGGCAGGTAAGAGTTAATGGGGATGATGACAGGGTATGAAAATTAAAAATATAATTAGTCCGTAAGTTAGGTAATGAAAAAATATTAGACACGTATTTTTTTATTTTGTCGTATAATAAAACAATACTTAGATAAAACGAATCAAAGTTTAGGAGTGGGGGCTAAAACGTCATTTCTTAGTATACAATGTACTGAGAAGTGACGTCACGCGACATTTCAAATCAATATATCTTCGAAACTATTCGTTTCTGTGAGAAAATAAAAAATACGTGTCTAATGTTTTTAAATAATCTATCAGACGGACATTAAAATAAAAATTAGTCGTCTACCCTATTACAACATGCTACAAATTAGCAGACTGATTCTTTTCTTTTATCATTGTATGTGTATTCATTAGCATTTAGTACAAAGCGGTTATTTTATCTGTAATTTGTATACATAACATACTGGGATTTTCTCCTGTGTCGTGGGTGCGTTTACAAACATAAAAATTCACAAACACATGACCCCTAGACCTGTGACAACAATTTGTGGATCACACGAAGAATTGCTCCGTTCGGGAATCGAACCCGCTACACGTTGCGCGGCAGCCGGTTACCCAGCCACAGCGACAACCATGCATTACACATACGTATTTCGTATCGTCATAATTGTGTATCCATATGCGTGTAGTAAAAAGCGGTTATTTTAATATAACCAAACACTACAATTTCATTTATTATTTACCTGTATACGTAATAAAAATATTTTAGACTTGATTTCACAATATCGGAAAACTGAGTCATATTTTGTGGTGGCCCGAAGGTTAATAGAATACGCCCGCTTCTCATGCATGAGGGTGCGAGTTCAAAACCTACCAACGGCAAGTACCAATGTGACATTTTCCGAGTCATATGTACTTTCTGAGATTATTTAGACACCACTGACAAACGGTGAAGGAAAACATCGTGAGGAAACCTGGACTTATAATTTCTAATGATAAGTTTGAAATCGCCAACCCGCAATGAGCAAGCGTGGTGATTAATGCTCTAACCTTCTCCGTGTGAGAAGAGACTTTCCTCAGCAGTGGGCACTTACAGGTTGTTGATGATGATGATGAGTCCTATTTGTTTACTACTAAAATCAGACTTTTTTAAAGGGGGGTAATCATCCAATGACTTCTCATACGACAAGCAATCCAAACAGTAAAAGGGCAATCAATAAATAAATCAGTTAGGTAAACAAACTTCTGGTGTATTTATTTTGGGTTTTACATGTAAACATGTTAAATATATAGCAGTATATAACAGTGTAGGTACACAGGTACGATACTGACTGCCTGTCAAAAATAGCAGCACGTAAACAGCGCCTACGCAACGACTTTTATACAGATACATATAAGATCCTGCTGTTCATGGACAAAAATTGTCTGTACGGTAGTATATTTTTTTTAATTCTAAGTTTTATCTACAAGTCGATTCGAATTATAGGCTTTTTCTAATTTAATCAGATATTTTTTTATAATTAGCTTCTGCCCGCGACTTCGTACGCGCCGGCGCAATCCCGTTTTCTCACGTTCTCATAAGATTTTCAGGATTTTTTTCTATCATAAGAACCTTCTCCTGACAATAACAAACACAACAAAAAAAATGCTGCCAAATCGGTCCAGCCATTCTCAAGTTATGGCGTGACTACGGGAAACGGGTTTCATTTTTATAGATATATGACTATATATATTGATAGACGTTACATTCTAGTTTTTTTTAGTCTTCTACCTTCCTATTTTAATGAAATTGGCTAGGAATAAAAGTTTGTACTTAGTTTAAGGAATAGCCTCGAAAATATGTCTGTAAATCATTCTGGATCTAGACCATATTTTAGACTAGTTCTGTTTCTTGTACGTAGCGGTATATTTCTTACGGAAAAAAAATTTGATAATTATGCACGCGTGCTCGACGGTTAAGGGTACTTTTAATTTGGCCCTTCTTTAACTCGTCGAGTACCGGTTTTATAGACACAATTAAAGAACAATAGGTCGCGGTCACCGGTGACCGCTTGGTGTTTGACAGTTTAATATATCGCCAATCTTGTTAAAGTTGAAATGAAATGAGTGTTTATTACTCATATTACCCAGAATTTCTTTATTCGATCTTTCTAGAAGAACACCCGTAATTCCTAACAGGTGTTAACACGCAACGTATAATATAATATAAACGTAAATACATCGAGAGCTGTGCAGACGCATCGTTCGCGAAAAGTTGTTGAAAACGCCGCTGGAACGGACGCTCCTGTGCAAATTATTTTCAAAAGTTATTTTTGCTAATTTTATTGTAAATCGTTCATTAATTTTGAAAAAAATTATTGATAATAAATAAATTTGAAATAGTAATAGTTAGACACATTCATTCATTTGGTGCTTTACACATTTAAATTGAGTTTTAGTGATCAAGTGTTGGACATTGTACAATTATTCATGTAAGTGAGTATTTTAAAATATAATTTACTTTTCGATTAATAAACAATGAAATAAATACGGATAATATGCACTCGTATTACTTTTTATAAATACTGAATTCAAATTCAACTACATATGAATAACATAAAAGTTGCATAAGCACGGTTGACGCGGTGGCTGGGCAACTGGCTGCCGCGCAACGTGTCGCGGGTTCGATTCCCGCACGAAACAACCCTTTGTGTGATCCAAAGATTGTTGTTCCGGGTCTGGGTGTCATGTGTATGTGAACTTGTATGATTGTAAACGCACCCACGACACAAGAGAAAATCCTAGTGTCCACGATACAGGAGGAATCCTAGTGTGGGGTAATGTTTAATTTACATAAAAACCTGTGTAAGTAATACCTCTGTAGTATATAAAATCAGGCGTGATGATATAACACATCCGTAATTATGTCTCCAGATTGTTCTACTAACAATTTCACTCCTACAAAAGTTTATAAAATGTAACTAAAATATTTAAATAGCTACAATTTAAAATTACATCTGAGATTACATCGCAAGAAAATAGATAAAGCTTCGCTAAACATTTCAACTTTCAGACTGTGTTATTTAAGATAACTTGTGACACAAATATTAATTTTAATTGTAGACATAATCTACACGTAAGCATAATGGTTCTAGAATGAGTATCTAGAATAAATATCCAGCATTCACTCACCTGCATGCGTAGAATGGGTACTGAAAATACTGCTTGCACTTGTTCAAAATGCTTGTTAAAAATCAATGTTATTCCTATAGTATACTTTCATCTGTTATGGGGTTGTTCATAGTACAACATAACATCACGCCTTTTTATCCCCGAAGGGGTAGGCAGAGGTGCACATTACGGCACTTAATGCCACTGGATAATGTAACACCCAATTTTCACTATTTATTTTGAGTCCCAAGTAATAGGGGGTGAGCCTATCGCCATATACCGGGCACAATTCCAGACTCCGTGTTACTACTGAATTTTTTTATAAAAAGCCAGTAATACTTTTGTATTAGTACATTTGTAAATTAAAACTGTGTCAGTGTAGCTCCCTTAGTCTTAGTTCTTTTTGAACCTGCATTTATCATAGAATTCTTATGATACTGATCTGTAATAATAGGTAATACTATATTACATTTGTGACAGAATTATCCGTGTTTTTAAATGTCGCTAACCATTCCCACGTACCACCACGTACACCTGTCAGCTATTACCTCACTCTTATCAATATATCACGTCTCGGCCACCGGGCACACATACATCATAGTTACCCAGAAATAGATGCTGGATCACTGGAGTGTGTCATGTAATAATATACTTATATAAACTCAAGTATGGGAGAGCCATGCTTCGGCACGGATAGGCCATCTCGAGTTCTCGACCGGAGTGATACCACGGCCTCACAGAAAACCGACGTGAAACAACGCTTGCGTTGTGATTCGTCGTGTGAGTGAGGTTACCGGAGGTCAAATTACACTTTTTGTATGGAGCTGTCTACAGATAGATAGGTTATAGAAAATGGCCGTTAATGAAAATAAAACCATCAATAGGCTTACCCCCTATAACATGAGACTCATAACATAAATAGTGAAAAGTGGGTGTTACATTGTACAGTGGCATTCTAAGTGCCGTAATGTGCACCTCTGCCTATGTGAATTAAATAAAATAATTTTTAGTTGATTTTAAAAATTATTGTTTCCTTGTTGTTTTTACCGTATACTGTATATAACACGCTGACAAATAGATCACACTGCACATCAGTGAACTTTAAGAATGTACCCACAAATAACCTCTATCAAGCCAGATCTATAGTTTTCAAGATCCTTGCTTCAAACTAAATAGAGCATAAACATCATTCAATGTCATTCTTAATGACTATCTAAAAATAGCTTTCTCGAAATTTTACATGCATTTTCTTAGCGTACTATGTTATATAGTTATTTGTTAAAGCTTGTTATTGCGCGGGACCACGCCTACTTGTATGTTTGTTGCACAGACACCGAAATAGATGCGTGTTGATCAACAAGAATGGCGCGAGACGATGAACTCAGATTGTTTACGTTAAATACATATATGTTTTGGTAGACTTTGTTATGAGAAATATGTTTTTGATACATATGGTGTATATTTGGATGTTTTGGCGCGAAATATAATAACATCATCGAGGATTTTAGCCCCGAAGGGTTAGGCAGAGGTGCACATTACGGTACTTAATGTCACTGTACAATGTAACAACCACTTTTCATTATTTATGTTACGAGCCCCAACTCCCAAGTAATAAGGGGTGAGCCTATTGCCATATACAGGGCACAATTCCAGACTCCGTGCTACTACTGAGAATGTTTGTTTTGTTTATTTTCTAAAAAGGATAGGTAGAAACGAAAGTATTGCATGCCGACCGAGTGTCTCGTTGGTTGAATGCGGCAAGTGGTCACGGATTTGATTCACGGGACTTTTATATTACTTAAATTTTCAATTATAGGTAGGTGTCTTCCAGTCCAAATACATAACTTGCTTGCTCCATTTCTAAAATAAAACAAGTAAATAATGAACCGAATATACTTGTCGAAGACATTTTTTTATAATTTATTGTAAAATCGTTACGTTATTATTCTTAACTTTTTTATATCTATTCCCTATTTCAATATATTTTTCCACTGTTCCAGAGAATCGGAGTGGTTATTCGGTACACCGGCAGGTCGGCGGCAGCTGCAAGACTCGGCCAGGTTCGGCAGGCTGGTGGTGGCAGTTCTCCGCAGAGGACACAAGTTCGAATCCTTGGACGCTGTCAAGGAGGAACTTGCGCACGCTGCGAAGATGCTCATACCGTATGGATTGACTGGACAGGTACATACACATTCATATTGTCGACTACTGGGCATAGTCTGACATATGGTAATGTAGAGAAATATCTAAATATTGTGGACACGTTTCCGCTGTTAAAATTGATACTTAGAATGTACTACTATGCATATTTGTACGTCAATGTGTCAATATTTAGTGCGATATTGATTTAGGACTACGTCTAACGGTCGAGTGGTCGCAGGCGCGAATGCTGAACAGTTCGATACCTATCCTTACTAATATTATAAATCGGAAAGTAAGTTTGTTTGTTTGTTCCGACTTCACGCCGTAACTACTAAACCGATTGCATTGAATTTTTGCAGACGTAAAGTTAGTAGTCTGGATTAAATAATAGGGTACTCTTTATCCCGAAAAAAATTTTATATTCCCGAGGGAAAACAAAAGTATTGGTATAGATGGCGCTGTATGTATTGGTATAAGTCACATAGGCTACTTTTTATGCTTTTGTGACGCGAGCGAAGCCGCGGGTAAAAGCTAGTGTCGTATAAAGCATTAGTCTGTTTTACACAGAGTCTAAAAAAACGTTAACTATTATATGGGACTCCTAATATAACTGATCTGAAATCGGCGTTACATTTAAATAATGACTCTTGCCTAGTCTAGTAGGCGTTCTGTTAATATTTTTTCTTATATTCCAGATTCCATTCCTATCTTTAGGAAGTGATGTAGGCAGAAGAGTGAAGATATTCGAAGGTCACTCGGAGTACTCCGGAGACTTTGTGGTTGAAGATGTTGATGTAGAGGGCGCCACTCACCGTAGGCTGGTGTTCTTGGATAATCAGTTCCTGGTACAATCTGAGGCTAAGCTGAAAAGTGGTGAGTACACTGATAACTATACTTCAATAAAAGAAATAGTTTTGTTACATAATTAGAAAAACGTATTACGAATACAGCTCTACCTATCCTATCGTGGCACAATATGCCTCGTGGTACCTTATACCTCGATAAGATATTAAAATTAATTAAAGTATTATTGCTGGCCTGACACGGGTGTAAAAAATTAAACAATACGTGTGAAAATTGAACCTTTGATTAACGTAACGTAACTACACGATCCATGTTGTCAAATAATAAGAAAATTCATGCAATTTTGTACTACTTCACCCGCGCATTCGTATTCGTATTATTCGTAATGTCCGTCTGGTACATTATTTTAAAATATTCCACACGTATTTTTAATTTTTTTACAGAAACGAATACTTTGATGATATATTGATTTGAAATGTCGCGTGACGTCACTTCTATGTACATTTTATACGTAGAAATGACGTTTTAGCCCCCACTCCTAAACTTTGATTCGTTTTATCTAAGTATTTGTTTATATTACGTGTCTAATATTTTTTCATAACCTTACTGACGGACTAATTACATTTTTAATTTTCATACCCTGTTATCATCTCTACTGTTAGTGTAACTTATACACTATTTTTCTTTTTACAGTAAAAAGGAAGAACAAGACGAAATTAGTTGTGGATTTTGGCCATATATCCTTATATCATTCCTTTATGTGCGTGGGAGTGCAACTATCCAAGACTGTTTCACCCAACGTGGCAGTCCTAGGTCTTGGAGGAGGCAGCCTCTGTATGTTCCTTAGAAAATGCTACGATGACCTCAAGGTCACAGCCGTTGACCTGGACCCAGCCATGCTAGAGGTCGCCAAGGACCATTTTGAACTCCAAACCGATGATAGACTGGAAGTCCAGATCAAAGATGGATTGGATTTCCTGAAGGATGAAGTTAAGAAAGGTAAGATGTTATTATTATGTTTTCGACTTACGTGGCTGACGACGAGGAACTCGACTAGTTTCAAGCCATGCTAGAGGTTCATATACATGAGCAGTATTCGCGCTCACGTCACGGCTTACTCTTGAATCCAATTACGATCGGTCGACAATGGTATTGTGAAATTCGAGTAGTTTCCAGAGTATCAAAATTATAAATCTTATTAGTCCGTCAGTTAGATAATAAAAAAATATTAGACACGTATTTTTTTTATTTTTTCGTATAAAGTTACAATACTTACAAAATGGCGCTAAGTTTAGGAGTGAGAGGTCGTTACATCATAACGTGCTTCAAAATGTGACACACTGTGACGTCACACGATATTTCAAATTAATATATCGTCGAAAGTATTTAATTTTGTAAGAAAAGAAAAAATACGTGTCTAATGTTTTAAATTAATCTACCAGACGGACTTTAAAATAAAATTTAGGGAATCATATTTCTCAATCATTCATATTTCTCAACTTTAATAGTTTTACTTGAGAGTTTTGTCTAATGATTTCTTTCCATTATTATCTAAATCTTTTCAGTAAATAACAGTCATATTTTGTTTTGTTTTAAAGCATTGTCCTTCACTAAATTTTTCTCCTGTGTCGTGCGTTTGTCGGTAGTCGTTAGTTCATTTATACTCACCCAGAACCGGATTTATAATTTTTGGATCACACAAAGAGTTGCTCCGTGCGGGAATCAAACCCGCTACACGTTGCGCGGCAGCCGGTTGCCCAGCTACAGCGCCAACCGTGTAGTCTAAATCTAGTCATAGTTATGTTCTAGCGGACCCGACAGACGTTGTCCTGCATATAATAATAGGTATAGATAAATAACCTAGATACCGACTGCAGTGCCATCTGTCGGCCTGATTTGTGAATCTAAACCATTCCCACTCACAGAAGAATTATATATATAAAGACTAGCGGACCCACAGACGTTGTCCTGCATACCCACTTGAATGTATAAACAAAAATTCATTCAAATTAGTTCAGCTGTTTAGGATAAATAACCTAAACATCGACTGCAGCGCCATCTGCCGGGCTGATTTGTGAATCTAAACCATTCCCAGATTCCCTTGAACACACACAAAAAATTTCATCAAAATCGGTCCAGCGTTTGAGAGAAGTTCAGTGACATACACACTCACAGAAAAATTATATATATAAAGATATATAAATTATTCATGTATCTCATATAGATGTAGGAAATTTTTATTTAATACATTTTCTTACCTTTTGTCATCTTTCTTCCTTCAGGCAACCACTATGAAGCAGTGATGTTCGACATGGACAGCAAGGACCGCACGGTGGGTCTGTCATGCCCACCCAAACAATTCCTCGACAACCAGGTGCTGGATGATGTCAAGACCATACTTACAAAGGATGGTCAGTACTTTTGCAAGTTTTATCATTCTCATCATATCATATCATCTATTTTATCATAATTGGCATGTGGCATGCTACAGAGAATAAGGAGTAGATTTTCGCAATAACAAGATTTGTGATATTATAATTTTCTGAAATTCTCGAAAACACCGATAATAATAGATGCTTTATTTGATTGGCGAACTGAATTGCTGTTGATTTTACTAGCCCCAAATAATTTTATCCGAGAAATATTTTTAACAAAAATTGATAGGCATCAATTTATTACATACATACATAACATTACGCCTTTTATCCCCGAAAGGTGCACATTACGGCACTTAATGCCACTGTAATGTAACACCCACTTTTCACTATTTATGTTATGAGTCCCATGTAATAGGGGGTGAGCCTATTGCCATATATCGGGCACAGTTGCAGACTCCGTGCTACCACTGAGAAAAATCCAGTAATACTTGCGACCACTCGGCCAATGAGGCCGTCATTTTATTCTATGAATAAAAATTGTCTGTTGATAGATAAATCAGCTTAAATTGAGTTGTATTGGCTGGACATACCATCCAAAACAGTTTCTTTGATAGACTAAAACCTACTCAATTGAATTACAGGTCACTTCATCCTAAACTTGGTATGCCGCGACGTGGACCTTCAACAATCAATAATGGACATATTGAAACGACATTTCAAGCATTTGACCTCAGTGAAACTGTATGAGGAAGTGAACGAAATTATCTTTGCCACGAACAGTAATAAAATGTATAATACTGATGATTTTGAGAAATCTGTCAAAGAATTAAACGCGTGCGCACGCCAGAAGAAACTTGTTGACATTCGAAGTGTGGATTTGAAGGACTTCTTGCAATCTGTTACTGTTATATCATAGACTAGCTTCTGCCCGCGACTTCGTACGCGCAATCCCATTTCCCCCCCGTTCCCGTTCGTGATTTTCGGTAAAAGTAAAAAAAAAATTTTGATAAAAAGTATCCTATGTCCGTCTCCTGGTTCTAAGCTACCTCCCTGCCAATTTTCATCCAAATCGATTTAGTCGTTTTTGAGTTATAAATAGTGTAACTAACACGACTTTCTTTTATATATATATATATATAGATTAATTATTATTACTTAGTTTTATAAGGTAACTATTGTGAATACTATTCTATTGATTGATAGAAATGTAGGGCGTGCTCACGTGACCTATTCGAGAATTGCTCTATTATTTTCAAGTCATAACGGGACTTATGTTCGTGAGCAGTATGCGTCTGTAGCAGAGGTTTTCTCCAACTGTTCATGTGAGTAAGCCGTATGTTTTACTAATTTCGTTTTATACGATTTGTAATATGAAGTAATATGAAATGAAAGTTATCCTTTGGAGAATTGTAACAAAAGTGATGCTCTACAGTTAAATTGTTTTTTTTAAATACTTTGCCCCACAATAGGATTTTCTCCTGTGTCGTGGGTGCGTTTACAAACATACAAGTTCACATACACATGCCACCCAGACCCGGAACAATCTGTGGATCGCACAGAGTTATTCCGTGCGGGAATCGAACCCGTGACTCGTTGCGCGGTAGCCGGTTGCCCAGCCGCCGCACCGATTTGCAGTCGATTTTTAAATCTTTGTTGTCGGTACTGTCAAACAATTTGATTAAGAAACGAGTTACTAAGAATCCTAAGAATCAGTTCAACGATATTGTTGATTTTATTCAAAGGAAAGTGTAACCGGGGCTCCGGCTCGACGTGCAGGAGAAGGAACGAGGTGGTTTTTAGTCAGTAAGAGTCTGATACTCCCTCCCGCCTCACCCAGGCGGGAGCAGTCATTCGATGATTTTCCCCCCTTAAAAAAAAAACACTAGTTATGTGGGATGCTAATCGTGGCTATAGTTATAATCAACTGAACGCTAAATATTACAATATAAATTAAATCGACTCGCGAAAGTAGGTCGCGCGACGTTAGCAAAATAAATGCCTGTACGTAAACCGTACAGAAAGCTTTCAAGGAAACTATACAACGAATGTTAAAATTCTAAGTTTGTTCCCTGGCTACTCTCAGTCTGTCAAGTTTCAACTTTATCAAAGAGCAATAAAATCTAAAATCATAAGAAACTTGACAGTTTGAGTGAACCTTGATGTGCGTGTCTATGTTTGTTGCTCAATATAAATAATGTTTTGAAGTATATGGCGCCAAAGCCGCGCGAGCGAGTTGTATGTATAATATAGATTTTTAATGTATTATAGTTGTTTATAAAATCTAAATGCTTTTATTTAAACTCTAAGACTGAAGTATCTTACTGAAGTTATAATAGTTTAATGTCTAACGTTACGCCTTTTAATCCCCAAACGGGTCGGGAATCGAACCCGGTCACGATGCGCAGCAGCTTCGCAAAAATTGCGTCAATCTTCAGTAGTCAGTTTAAGAGCTTCGGCACGAATGGGCCGCCTCGACCGGAGTGACACCACGGCCTCACAGGAAACCAACATGACACAACGCTTGCGTTGTGTTTCGTCGTTTGAGTGAGGTTACCGGAGGCCTAATCTCGGGAATCCCTGAATCATAAATAATCCTCGAATTACTTACTCCCATCGAACTAATCCCCAAAAAGCCGGTAGAGCACTCGTAACGCCTCTGGTATTCCGATGTCCATGGGCGACACCGATTGCTTACGATCAGGTGATCCGCTGCTAGCTCGCTAGCAACTATTAGTATGGAAGAATTGTCAAATATTCAAAGTATAATATATATAAGTAATTTAACTGAGGATGAAAACATTAGCCAATTTTTCCATCGCCAGATTATTATTTGAACAATTTTATTCTACAGTTAAAAATTAACTGGTCATTGAAAATTCAGCCCTGAGCCAGCAAGCGTGTCGTGGTGAACCTAACGGGTTACCGGGGCTCCAGCTCGACGTGCAGGAGAAGAAACGGGGTTGTTTTTAGTCTGACACTCCCTCCCGCCACCCAGGCGGGATCAGTCGTTCGATGATTTACCCCCTTTAAAGCCAGCAAGCGTGTAAAATTTTAATCGTACTATCAATACCACAAATGTCAATGAATGAAGATTATTTCCTGACCACATTTTTCTACAGTGTTTACCAATGGGTAGGAAATATGTCTTGAATGACATTTATTCTTTGAAATGCAGACTTTATCCAACTTTGTTTGATCTTTTCGTATATTTAACGATCAGTTTATGGTCACTTTACTGATTTGCAACATAAGTAGTTCTATATTATTGTTTGTAAATTAGGAGTCAATTAAGTTTTATAATTTTACAGGTTTTTACTTACTGAATTTAATATAATTGTAGCTTTACATCTGCTTCGATGATCAAGTAGCCGCAACTGCACCTGCTATGAATTTTTGGGTTCAAGTCTTATATCAGGTAATTTGGTGTCTGTAATTGTTCAAGCGACTAATAACATATCTGGCCAAGTCTATGTAACTCTTTAGGTTTAGAGAATGACTGTAAGGAGGTGTAACAATATTTCTGATACCACGGCCTCATAGAAAACCGACGTGAAGCAACGTTGCGTTGTGTTTCGTCGTGTGAGTGAGGTTACCGGAGGCCCAATTACCCTCCCCTTCCCCAATCTCCCCAAACCCTAAATCCCCAACGATCCTCAAACTCCTAATCCCCAAAAGGCCGGTAACGCACTTGTAACGGCTCTGGTGTTCCAGGTGTCCATGGGCGACGCCGATTGCTTACCATCAGGTGATCCGTCTGCTTGTTTACCAGCTTATGCCATAAAAAAAATATTGTCCTTAAGGTTATTTTCTTTTACGATCTCTGACTGGATTTTAGTGTTACATTGTTCTCGCACAGTCCAAACAACAAAACTATGTAACTAGAGAATTGTATTGTGAACCTGATTGAATACTCTTTTTCATGGTACCTATGAAGTTTCTTGCTCGTTCTTCTCTATGGGAATGGTAAGAGCAAATAGCTTCACTTTTAATTTTTTGTTAACATTCAAAAGTGCCTTTCTGGGCTAATAGAAAGAAATGATTTCGACTTTGACTTTGAATAGGATTTGTTTCCACCGAAATAAGTGATACCTATATCAAGTTATATTAGTTTTTATATTGTTAATGTACGTAGGTCACTACAAAAGTTTTGTCGTACTCCGTGAAATATTATTTTTTTTCGAAGTATTCTCCATTGGCACTTAGGCAGGTCTTCATACATGCAAACCACGTATCAAAGATGTCGCTCCAGAATCCTTCCTGCACACTGCTGCATATCTCCTCAAAAGCACCTAAAAGTTGGTCATCATTAGTAAACTTGCGGCCTTTTAGTTGCTTTTTTACATATGGGAACAGGCCAAAATCACACGGTGCTAAGTCTGGGCTATAAGGAGGGTGTCCCAGTAATTTGATCCCAGTTTGACTCAGATAGTCCACAGTTTTGCCGGCTCGATGCGCGGGAGCGTTATCATGATGCAAGAACCAAGTGTCGAGTCTTGAGTTTGGACGTTCATTTTTCAAAGATTCTAAAACTTGAGGTAAACATTTTTCAGTGTACCAGGCAGCTGTCACAGTCTTCTGTTTATCAAGCACAATTATTGATAAAATACCTCTTCTGGAGAAAATACGGCTACCATTCTTTTTTTGACTGACCGGACATTTTAACGGACGTCGGAGGATCTTCGTCTTCAAACACCCACACTTTACTCTGGGATTTAGTTGGAACGTCGAAATAATACAGCCAGGTTTCGTCACCAGTGATAATTGAATTCACATAGTTAGATTTGCCGTCATTGAATTTTTTTAACATTTCTTTACACCATTTGACGCGCTGTTCCCTAATCGCATCAGTTAGCAAATGTGGTACCCAAAGTGAACAAAGCTTTCGTACTCCTAAGTTTTCATGAAGAATTCGATGAATAGTTGGTGCACTTAAATGAGTGTTTCCTCGATCTGACGGTATGTTACATGGCGATCTCCTTCAATCACTTTTCGCACAGCCACAATATTCTTATCAGTGGTTGCGTCAATCGGCCTGCCCGGTCTTGAATCGTCTTCTAAATTAAAATTGCCGCGATTGAATTGTAAAAACCATCTTTCTATAGTCCTAAGGGATGGACAATTATCACCCAACACACCACTCATTTCTTCGAAGCATTGTTGTTTTGATAATCCACGCTTAAAGTTATACAAAATTATCACCCGAACGTCACGACGATTTAAATCTGACATATCCAATTGTTAAAAAATTCACTAAAAAAATACTAAGCTAGTTACTCCAACGAAACTTATGCAAAATATGTTGACATTAGTTGATGTATTAGAATCTACCCTCAGTTGAATTATAACTATTAACTATTTGTCATACGACAAAACTTTTGTAGTGACCTACGTATATGTTTGTTAAGAAATGAAACCAGTGAATAAAATTAATGCATTTAATGCCGTTTCTTTGTTTACCGATCGCTCCCCACTCGAGACTAGCACTCGTCTTACCAATTTCACATTATTGTCGCCATTCAACTCATCCACAAGCAGACATCATCGCATAAAATTAAAATTTAACACGCTAACAATTAGGCTCCCTAATTTATCACAATTGGCACCTATGAGGTCTACTAACAACAAATATACAATAATTTAAACATTAATATTCGCAATGAAATAAATTACAATAGCGATACGCTTAATACTTTAAGCGAAATACACGACACTGATAAATTACAAATAAATTGTCAAATTGTCCCTCAAAACACTTTCTTCAGAATGTTCTTAAGACTTTTCTTCTTTTTGCTCCCACTATTTTCATTTTCTTGCTGTCCATTCTGCGATATTTCCGTGGACTCCGACCAGAGACTACCGGTCGGTGACTCGGAGGCTGCCTTCTTGTTCATGTTCCCGTTGTACACGGGCTCCAGT